ATTATGATTATAATTTCATTTATAATACGAATAACTTTCTAATAAAACTCATTTAAATAATTCAATTTATGCAATTCTTGGCCATAGGAAATAAATTCAATATGTATATAATCTACGTTGAATTAAAGCTTCGGAGTGGCTTTGTGCGTGTGGAAAATAGTATAAATGCAATTTAATTGGAATTGAAGTTTCACGAGTAATTGGAATTGCGAACTCAAAGAGATTTCACAAATGCGCCGTGCCATAATTAAGTCAATTTCTCGGAATTTGCAATCGAATGAAAATTCATACATATATACTTATATATTAGTATATAAATACACATATATTGGATTGCACATGGAATGCAGCAGACAAATTCTGAGAACATTCATTGGAATGCCGAGTGAGTTGAACTGCGTTCAGTTGAGTTGATATTGGAATTAATTGAAATTAGTAGTTTGCCAGCATTTAGCTAGAATAATATTAATTAGAGAACAATCGTTGCATTCCACACAGGAGTTGAGCTCAACTACAGTAATTACTCGAATAGACGAGAAATTTGAAATTCGATTTGGACTTATGTAAGCAGGCAGCGCTAAGGTCAAAGCACTCTTGGCCACTGTCAATATGTATGTGTGTGTGTGTGTGTGTGTGTGTACGTGTGTCTGTGTCAATATAAACATATATACACACATATATAAGCATATACATATACATATGTCTCAACATATATGTATTTTAAGTAAATCCAAATGTGTGTGAGTGTGTGTGTGTTTGTGTGTATTGCACACCAAAGTAGGTCAGTTCGATATTCCAACGTGTTTTTATATACGCAACACGCACGCACACACATGACCACCAATTCTTGTGTGTGTGTGTGTGAATGAATGAAGCAAATTGCAGGCTCAGCTTGAAATTGGAAGTCAAATCAAACAATTGTCACAGCTTAAGTTACCAAAGGCAAACTCACACACACACACACAGTTATACACGGCCACGCTGAAAAGTATGCTATAAAAATCGCGTTTGCTGCACTTGCAGATTGAAACGATTAATCAAGTGTGCCGCAATATGATTTAACAATGCAAAAATTGATTAACTAACCAGCATGCACATACAATTATAAAAATAACAAAATAAAAAAAACAAAATAATCACACTCTCACACACACACACACATGCATGCATTGAGCAGTGCTCGCATGTTGTTAGTCAATGAATTTTACATATACACAGGCACAAAGCAAGGCTAGCAGAGGGCAATACAGAGAGAGAGAGAGAGAGTTGTTGAGCGAGAGATTGGCCTAGAGAGAGAGTAAGAACGTGTGTGTGTGTGTGTGAAAAGGAGAGAGCGAGTGGGTTAGCAGTTGTGGCCAGAACCAGAGCCAGAGCCAGAGCCAGAGCGAGCGCCTGCGCCTTTTCAGCGCCACACATATCCTGTTCGACTCTCTGGCTGTTGTACAATCTTGTATCTCGAAGATACAATTATTTTGGTATGTTTCTTAACGAAACTTAACGCTCACTGGGGCATGTATTGGCCCGTATTCTTTCTTTTTTTTGTGCTGCCTCAAGTTTGCCCTCCAAAAGCCACCAAAAGGTTGTGCAGTAGGCCAACAAAATGACGAAAAGGAAAAGCAAAATGTTGTATGCCTCGCTGTGTGCGTGTGTCTGTGTGTCTGTGTGTGTGTGCGAGTGTGCGAGTGTGTGGCAGCAAGTGTTTGCCAAGTGTCTTAGCGTTTTCAATTGCTTGGCTCATTAGTGACATAATCATGGCTAGCAATTAGCTGCGACTTCTTGCGGCGAATCAAATTTCAATCCCAGACCCAACTCCGATATAGATAGATAGACA